AAACTAAAGACCTTGCATTTGCCTGGCAGGAGCTCTGCCCCTGAGCAGTATGCCCAGTGCAGATGCCCCAATTACTTTTTTTTTTTTTTAAGATAGAGTCTTCTGTGCAGTTCAGGCTGGCCTAGACTCACTATGTAGCCCCGGCTGGCCTTGAACTCACAGTGAACTTCCTGCCTCAGGCTCTTGAGTACTGGGGGGACAGGCATGTGACACAACACCTGGCCTGTTTTCTGTCTTTCCCTCTTTTTTTTTCTCACTTGCCTTTCTCCTGCCTTTTTTCTTTCCCTCTTTCCTCTCTCTTCTTCCTTCTCCCTTTTTCTTCTCTCCCTCTCTCCTTTCTCTCTGTCTTCCCTTTTATCTGACATACTCACTAATGAGAAATTACAACTTCTTAGTATTACAGAAGAATATAGTGGGGTGAGAAGGAGAGAGGATTCCCAAATCCACTACTTTTGCCTGACTGGTGTTCCTGTTGCAGGCAGCCAAATTAGATAAACATATTATAGGCAGCCAGACAGGGCCAGGCCCTCAAAGGAGACAGCACAGAAGACAAGATACCTTACAACTGTGGGAGGGAGGGATGCTCCTGCTGTGAGCTAGACCTAAAGACCACAGTTCAAACAAATGCTGACCTCCCTAAAGAAGAGCACCCAGGATTGATCTTCACCCTGATGGAGCCAGGAAGACTCATTATCTGATGGCCACCAGATAAAGTCCTGTTCTACATTCATGCCCCCTTTCTATGTGACTCCCTTCCCCATTTGGTCCTGGGCTTAATTAATTTTACCTGAGCAATGCTGCTTGTAATCCCATTGGTTGACCATAGTTTGGTCCCACTCCGCATCCACCTAAGGGAATACCCATTTTCTCCAACTTAAGCCCGCCTGGTTTTACGCTATAAAAGTCCCTAGAAGAGACAGCTTCCTGGGGACTACCTGCTCGGGCCCCCCTCCTGTCACTTTCAGACAGGAGCTTTCTTTCCCTCAATAAATATATTCTGCTCATAACCTCCGTTTGTTCCTAAAATTCATTTGTTTAGAGAACACAGACTCATCTAGGTCAGGTCGAACTCGTCCAGGTCAGGTTGGGAGCTTCACTTACCCTATATCATTTGGAGGTCCCTGTATCAGTTTTTCTCCCTATATCATTTCTTTATTCTGTCCAGTGGAGAAAGCTTAGAAAACCTTTGTTTTATTAAAGCCAGCAACCTGGGTAAACCAAAAGTGAGCCGGATGTCATGTGCCGCCCAAAAGTACTTGACTTCATATGGCTTTGAAGCAATGTACAACACTGCTTTGTGGCTTAAACATAGAAACTAGCAAACATGCTCAGGAGGAAACTGCCAAAGTCACTGAAGGAGGGGAGCAGCAGATGTGGTGGGACACGGGAGAGAGACTCTGCCTCAGGTCCTTCCTTGGGTCTCTGGGCATCAGAGGTGGTCGCTGCCTCAATTTTGAGCATCCTCCCAGAGGGGCACGAGCACAGCACCTAGCAGGCAAAGTGCATGCTGAACTCTGGGTAAAAAACAAGCACATTTTGATGCGAGAGCTGCGTGCTCACCACACTATGGCCAGAGTAGATCCTGGGCCTGGGTAGTCACCAGCTTGCTGGTGAACCCAGCTCGTGCCAGCTTAGAACTGCAGCCCAGCTTCTAGTCGGCCTTCCCTGGATGGTGTGTCTCTATGAAAAATTTGTTCTAGATGCGCCTTTCCCATTAGGGTCAGGCAATTCAACACCTGCTCATGCTAGAAATAATTTTCAGTTAGACTCATAATTTTCTAATTATTTATAATTACAATGAATTTTTGACAGGATGGAAAGAGGTTCATACACCTGAAATAGGGGAATTAAGAGAAGAAGGTGGACTTTCCATGTTTCAGAAAACATTGCTGAAATATGCAACGTATTAATTATTGAAACTATCCTACTTAGTTTTGAAACTGTCTCATTGCTATTTGTTTCTCAATGAAATTATTAAAAAATGATATAAACTAAAAAAAAATGGTGAATTATCAGAGTAATTGGGTAACACTAATAGAGTCTCATGGCAATCTCTGCTCTTTTGTGTGGATGGGTAATGGACCCAGAATCTTATAAGACATATTCCCCGGATATGTCTCCCAGTAGGAGCTTAATGCATTTGAGTTGGTTTCCAGAGCTGCTCAGTAGGTGGGCACGGCTGCGAAGCTGCAGGGCCCACTGCCATCCTGGGGAGTGCAGCCTGCTCCAAAAAGGGAGGAAAGGGCCACAGACCCCAGTGGTGCCCTTCGCTCGCAGGTTCCTCCTCCCATTCTTAATAGGTTGTTGACCGGTGGAGGTCATCAGTCACGTATAGCCTGTGGCAGTTACATCTTAAAAGCAGGACTTTTGCTAGATTTGGTCTTGGTATTGTCTCCCCACACCCCACCCCAGAGTGGCTTGTTCTGTAGTTACTTGTGGAGACATCATGACTCAGACCAGCATGAGGCAAATAGAGAAAATACACACAGGTGATTGTCAACTCAGCAACAAAATAGGAGTTGGTCCTGGGCCGTTTGAGATGTGTACAGTGAGTGTGTTGATTTGATTTTGTGGTTTTTTTTTGGGGGGGGGCTTGGGTTTTTTTGGTATTTTTTTAGGGAAGGGTCTATAGGGTGTTCAGGGTTTCACTACTAGATCAGACTCAGGGATCCAGCCCTTTACAGGCTCCCAAGAGCTAGGATTACAGGCCACACCCAGATCCACTGAGTTATTTGGCCGGCATGCTGATTTAAATGAGCAAGATAGGCAATTACAGCAGTGGGAAGCACTCCCCTGCAGGCCCCCCCCCCCCGCATTCATGGACAGGGAGGGGGATGAACCCCCATGCTGGACTCCAGGTGGAGCCGTAGCCACGTGACCCCACAAGCCTCTCCTCCAAGCGAGAAGCACCAGGATTGGATGCCGCCCTGATGCTATGAGCTGCTATGCTGGTCAGAGCAGGGCAGACACTGTGTGGGGCAAGTGCCAGGGAGGGTGAGAATGCTGGCCTGAAATCAGGCGTGGTGGTGAATTTCCCATAGTGTCACCGTGGCTCACTCCCCAAAGCCAAACAAGTGAGTTGTACCAGAGCTGCAGTCTCTGACCTCTACCCCATCCCGGGATCCTCTGTTCCCTGGGGGTTTGGTTGCCTCTAGTCAGACACAGCTGCTGGCTGCTGTGCTGAGAAACACAGCACAGAAGAACATGTACTGCACCCGGAGAACGATTATGGAAAGGCAGAGTGTGTAAAACTTACTAATTTTATACAATACCGACTGTATATTAAAGTATTACATTGGATTCAGATGTTACACCAAGTAGATACAGCCTTGTGGTAGACTGTGTAAGTAACACGCCTGAGGCCTTGGCTTCCATCCCTATGACTGAAAATTGGAAAGTTAAATCTTAAAAAAGGATCATTAGGCAAATTTCTCATGCAGGTTTCCAGTATCACTGCTTTCCTTAAATACCTCAGCAAAATATTTATTAGTCCTCAAGTTAACACTTATATTTGAGAGCATGGATTTTATTTCAATGATCTCTTTGATATTTCAATTTGAAACCATCCCAGGGAGGAAAACTCAGGGGAGAGTTTTGTCATCTCAAGTGAGTTAAGGCTGAAACACTGTATAGGAACCATCTCAGATGGGTTAGTAGGTATGGATCTAACCTCAGGCCAGGACTCAGGCCTAGGAGCAGGGGACATGCCTGGGGTCAGTCCTGACCTGCAGGTAGACAGGTTTGTCAGAGCTCCGACCTGGAGTCTCCAGGTGCTTGTCAGATGGTGCTGGCTTTACACCCTCAGCGTTCTTGGTGAAGTAAGGACCTTACACAACTGCACCCCCTTTCAGGTAAATCTGTATCTGCAATGCGTCCCCTGGAAAACAGCTTTCTTCAGTTAGCTTTATCTACAATCTGTGACTTCAGTGTTCTTTAATACTCCTGCTGAATTGGCAGTTTGTGATCTTTAAGTGAGATTTTGATGACATCTAACACATAGGTTCTCAGCACTTCAAAAACTATTCAGAGTTAAAACATTACCAGCAAAAGTGACCATGGAATGTTTAGCCAAGAAATTTAACTTTGGGATGCCAACTCCAGGATAAATTAATTAGAGATTATGTAAATGAGTTATTTGCTCTGTGATGTTATTCGCTATAACCATCTAAATGTCATGCAATGACATCTTTGAATAATGACTGAATTTCAAGCCAGTCTTTGTGTTAGTTCCTAGCAATAAAATAATCAGGAATAAATCCATGACTTGTGGCCCTATTTTTTCCAAAAGTGATAACGAGCCATTAGTGCTCAGCTAAAAAAAAAAAAAAAAGAAAAAAAAGTATTACACGTAGCTATATTGATTATTTAAAAGCTATTTTTCAAATCCTTCAAGAGTTTCTCTTGATCGTTGTTCTAATGGAGAACTAGAAAACATTCTTGAAAATACCCCCACATTTGGTTGCTCCCAACTGTGGAGACAGTGGTTGTGTCCTGGAAAGTGGACTTTCCTTGTTTCTGTGGCTTGCTTTCTCCACTTGTGCATTATCTGCGTGTAGAACGCTTCAGAGGAAGTCAGGGGGCCTCAGCAGGGCCCGAAGCCTGGCCCAAGTGCTAGCTAGATGGTCAGGTCCATGGGGAGTTGCTAGTTGTGACTATTTTCCTGGCAGAGAGAATTTATAGAAGAGTTTAATTACATGTGGCCTTTGGATTTTTTTCAAATGTTGCCTCACCAGGGTTTGAACTACCAAACATTCTTTCAAAATAAGGCAACAACCTTCTAATTCACTGCCAGTTTTTAAAAGGTGATGGTGACAGTTCTAAAGGCATTGCTATGAAGGGAGCTCACTTAGGAGCAGGATAAGCTTGTCACCTCTTAATGATTATGGCTTCTTCGTAAAGTTTAAAACACCAGCCGTATGTTTAAGGACCGCCGTCCATATTGGAATTACAAATGCAAGTATTTCTAAAAATGCCTTGATCGTCAAGTCACTTTTTTCCTTAAATAATGCCAAATGAGTGCGGTACTTCAAAAAACATATTTTTAAGCTTCTGTAGTCATAGATGAGTCTGAACATTTTTACTGGAATTTGAGACCTAAGCTAATAGACAGACCTTTGAAGTTAAATTATGACCAAGAGTGAGAACTCCAAAGAGACTGGCCTTCCTGAGGTATGTGGTTGATTGCATTTGACTGGACGCAAGGGAGCAGGCAGAATGAGAAGTGGCTTCCGGGAAACATTCCCAGGGCCATAAAGCTGGAGTGGTCAGTCTTGTCTTCCCCAAGAAGCATATTTACAAGCCAGAGAATAAGGACCCAAGATTTTCCTGACCTGCAATGTGTGTGCGTTAAGGAGATAAGATTCTCCTTTTCTTGAGGGGCTGGAGGACACCTATCTCCTTTCCTGGTCACCCTCCCAATTTATATTGTAGACTGAAGTTAGAACATCTGGTTCATGTGGAGAGAAAAGGCTGGGGCATGAGAAACCTTTGTGCAGGCTTTCTGTAAATAATAAAATGTTCTGTGCACCAAAAAAAGGCATCCAGTGGTTCTAAGCAGGCTCTTCCCAGCAAGGGCTGACGGATCATGGCCTTACGGAAGAGCCATCTGCCTCTGCTCCCAGGCTTGATTGAGCATCATTATCAATTTTGTGATTAAGTGGATCAAGAATACACTTGGTTTTTAAAACTTTAGGATGAAATTGAAGTGTGCCATATCTCTCTGGTTGGGCTTGCTCTCTTAGCCTGGAACCTGGCCTGATCTCGCACTTTTTTTTTTTTTTAAAGAAATATACTATTAAAGTCAGTAGATCATTTGGCATCTCTAATGTGACCAACGATTTTATTCATCCAACCTGCCAGTCCCAGTAGTTTAGCAAAACTTTGCTGAGTTCTCCATTTTCTTCTGTTCTCTTAAAATTTATCTTAAAAGTAAATACTATAATTTGTATTAAAGATAAACCCCTTTGCATTTATGCCTTGCTTTACAATTTCTACATGATGCTTTTACATTTGTTGGATTTGGTTATTGCAGTAATATTTGGAAATCAACTTGAATTTTCAGGAGTTGTTACTTATATCAACTGTTTTGAAATGAGATGTGAGAAAACCAAAATTTACATGTAGGATAAGAGTTGTCTAGCTATGATATTTAGGCATTTAATTGCCATATCAGCAGCTGTTAGATCATGGGCATTTCATCAGCTGTCACTGGGACTGTGGAGCCTGACTTCTTCCAAGAGGGACATAAACCACTGATTGTCTGTCGGCTCCTGACAGTCATTTCCTGCTGATCAGAGGAGAATGCAGGGAAAGCACACGCATTAAAGAAAGTATCCGTTTTCATGGTGTGTTGTTCAAAATGCCTTTGAATCCTTTAAGATGTGCCACGCAGTAAACATAGATTTACATCCTTTGATAGTTCTCAAAGTACTTTTATGTATCTTATTTAATTCTTAATCACACCTGAAACACATACAGATACCTACCTTTCACAGGTGGGGACTGGGAGGAGAAAAGCCCTGAGGGCACAGACTAGGGGATGGGGGTGGTCCCTAAACACCAAGTGCATTGTGTGGGCTTCAGGTCTCGTATTCCTCTTGTTTCTTCTGTGAAAAACACCACAGTTATGATGAAAAACCAAGAAACCACAGGCTCTGCTTAAAGTAGCACAAGGTCTGAAATTCCAAAATTATTTTAAATGCACCATTATGTATGCTATGGACATTGGGGACCTGGACATTTGGGGACCCAAGTGCAGAGCAAATCAGGGAGGTGCTGTTGGGTGCAGAGGTGCAGTGAGGCTGTGGTGCTCAGCTAAGGACAGCTCCGAAAGATCCGGTACACTTACTGCGTGCACTTAATAAAAATTCACCATGGCAGTTGCAATTGGAGTATGTTGATTATTGCCTAAGAATCCATTTAGGTGCAAAAAGATAACTATTAAAATTAGTCTTATAGCTGGGGAGATAGCTGAGTGGCATGAGTGTCTCTCTAGCAAGGGCAAGGTCCTAAGTTTGATCCCTGGTACAAAAAAAAAAAAAAAATTAGTCTTATAGCCCACAGTGCAAAATTGGTACTCGCTCAAGTAGAACAGTTTCTCAAACTCTTCTTTCAGAGTTTGGTTCAGTAGTTCCTTTTATCCTTTCTTTTGTCTAATGCCCTTATTCTTTCCATAAAACAGGCTCTTCAGAGGCAGGCTGGAGAACTGGAAGCCCAAGCCGCAGTCAACAGCCCAGGCAGCCACCCATTCCCCTTGCATGCCTTTCTCGTGGTTTAATGAAAGCCGGAAAGGATCCTATTCCTTCAGAAACGCGCCTTCACCTACAAGTCCCTTTCAGCCTTCTCATGAGACTCAAATTTCAGATAAAACAAGGTCTAAGGTAGAAAATACATGGATTTTTAAAAGCAAACAAGACAATCTCAAACTCCTTCTCCTCTTCAGTCTTGGGAAGCCATTCTCAGCCTTGTGTGTGCGCTCTGGACCAGAGGAACCAGTATGCTAGCAGCGCAAGCAGCACTGCATGGGCTCCTTGTGAGGGGAAGAGAAAGCCTCACGTAACCACCCCTGCTCTAATCCTGCTCCTCTCCTGCGTGTACACCTCTCTGATTGCCTGTCTCTTCACGTACTGCTATTTAATCTCAGTTTGACAGTTAAGCCATGCTGGGAAAGGTATATTTGAATCACAAAACAGTATTATAGATCTGTTGGCTAAGTATTCTACTTCAAATTAATTACCAAACTATTTCACTGTGCTCTGGATTAACTAAACCAGATAAATTGGGGACTGTGTATGTCCAGTACTGAATAGGTGAACCTGTAAGAAGCCAGCACTGACACAGCACCTTATTCCTTCTTTCCATATCAAATGGACGTGCTGATCAGCTGCTATAGTTCTGTTACCACAGTGCCTTAACGACCGGAAGCAGACATTACATGCACGGGTGTGATGGTTCTTATGCATAGTGGTTATTTCCAGCATGACACTGCAAACCTTATCTAACATTTGATTAGAACACATACAGTGCCTAACTTTCACTTGTTTGGTCTCCTTTTTCTGTATTCACTTTTCTCTCTCAAACAGAAATGTGATTGATGTTACTTGCTTTAATTCTTTTCTTGACATCAACAGCTCCAAGGCTTTGACCTGGGTCTGGGGTTGCATCTCTGCCAGCAATACCACTGTTACGTTCTGTGTTAAATGCCCTGTGGCTCTACTGTTGTCCTGGCCTCCTCCTTGACTGGGACTTCTTTTCTAAAGTTTGAATAACCTTCTAAGGGCCAGGGAGATGGCTCAGTGGAATAAGCACTTACCTGAATAACCTTCTGAGTGTTTGGGAGTTGAGTTTTCCAGCCTCTTCATGACCAGCTAAGCCTGACTCAGGCTCCTGGTGGAGCCTTAATAGCCAGCTCCTTAGGAAGGGCAGCCTGCAGCAGGATGGCAGCACTCAGGGGCTCAGCGTTCTGTGGGGATCCAGTCAGTCTACAGTTTTTTAGCAAAAGAAATTTTGACAGCAGCAGTCCATTTTGATCTTTCAGTATTGACTCAAAAACATCTACGTGTTGCTGGAGTAATTCTACTATTACCTTGCACTAAAGAGACTCCCGATTTTGTTTAATTTGTCCCAGGTAGCTGCATAGCCATTGTTAGATTTGATTTTATTATCTGTTGAACGCATTACTGGAAGTCCACCTCCCTCCCTGGGGGCCTGCCCAGACAGTTGTCTGCTCTGTGCCACGGCCATCGCGGGGCTCTGCTCGTGCTGTGAGAGGGCTGCAGCCCAGCGCATAACTGGCCGTGTGTGGTCAGACTCTGCCTTCTGCAGAGCTCCTCACCATAGAGTCCGTCCAGGTGAAGCGCTGCCGCTGCTTGTGGCGCTCGTCACGGCCAGCGCATGCTGTTCTGCCCAGGGGACTCCAGCACCTTCCCCATAGGAATCGCCATCTGTTCCTAAGAACAGCCTTGCCACACTGTCTTGTATTTTTACTTATGCTTTTACTCATCAGGATTGGGGTCAGAAAAAACAGGCTTATTAATATTGCGCCTCTGAGCAGTTACAGAGGATAATGACTGCTGTACCTTTAGAAGAGTAAAGAATCATAAAACGCCTATCCTTGCGTCAGATGCAGAAAGTGCCCAGAATTCCAGTCACCTGCCAGGCGCTCAGCAGCTGCAGCCTCTGCCCAGGTGCAAGTCATCACTGAGCTACCCCTGAGTGTCTTCCAACACTGCTTAAAAGATCCTTTTCAGAACTTGGAAACATCCCTGCCTCCAGTTCGCTCGCTCACTCTGTTTCTGTAATGCTAAGACTCATTCATTGTATTTTTTTACAGAATTTCACTTTCAACGATGACTTCAGCCCCAGCAGCACCAGTTCAGCAGACCTGAGCGGCTTAGGAGCAGAACCCAAAACCCCAGGGCTGTCTCAGTCCTTGGTACTGTCATCAGATGAGGTACTCTCAAGGAACTGTAGCAAAACGGGCTTCTCAGACCTAAGGTTTTACTCATAAGTTCTCACGGGAGCCATTTTTAGGGTAGATTCAGCATAGAACTCATCAGGACTGTAGTTTCATATTTAAAGTGAAGTTCACATGATACATTTCCCTCTGTGGCAATGTGAAATCAAAGTGTTGTTTCTGAGACTCTTGAAGCTTTCCAGGCACCCATTTTCATACATAAACACACATGGTGGGCGTGCTGGGCATGGAGAACAGACCCACTCAGATCGCAGGAAGTATACAGAGTGTCCATTTCCTCTCCCGTCAGCCCCCGCCCAGTCTCCCTTGCACCAGGGGTCTGCTACTCCTGAACATGCTTGGCTCCCCGAGGAGTCTCTGCAGTAGAGATCCGTAGTTGTGATGAGGAAGGCAGAGAGGGCCCAAACCACTTTTCTAGAAGCCAGGATCCAAAGGAGCATTGCTAAGGATTATCAGGAGATAAAAACCTGTAAGTGGGGTAGGAAATTCCATTAGAGATTGACTTCATTTCCAGAAGTGGTGGGTTAGGGGAAGAAATGATGTAAGTGATGATATTTAAATACTTTTTTTTTTTTAGTAACATGATTTTTGTTTTGTAAAATGTTTTTTTCCTTGTAAATTTTTCTGTCAATATTCTTCAAGTGATTTGTATTGTATTAAAACTGTGTGCTGTGTATGTTGTGTGTCCTGTTTCTATAACCCTTTTCTTCTTGGTTCCTTTGTTGCCCCTCACCCAGAGCCTGGATATGATAGATGACGAGGTGAGCTATCCGTGGGCTATGTACGAGGCCTTGTGTGGGATTATTTCGGCCTGCTTTTCTCTCCATATGAATGACTTAAAAATCAAACAGTACAACACTTTCCCCTCTAGTGAAAGGTTTCCATGTGTTAAGATAGCTTACCCTCTGCCCTTTTTTATCTTAGCTAAAAAGTATTCCAGAAGGAAAAGGGCCTAAATCTCACCCCCAGAATCCCTCAGTTTCTCTCCCGTCACATTACCTTGACAGGCTCATTCTTCCTCATCTGCTCTGCCTACATTTCAGCTTCCCCATCCCCTCCGTGTTCCTCATGCCTTGAGTCATCAAGGCGATTCCCGACTTTTGTCTGCGACATTGCCTTCATCACACAGCTGCTCTGGAAACTAACCTGCCCTTCTGCACTGTTAAAAAGTACTCTAATATGGACAGAGCCTAGAATTTGGAATAAAATACTTATTGTTGATCTCTACCACTTACTGGCTGCATTACCTTGGACAAATCATACAGACTTTCTGAGCCTCAGTTTCTTCATGTATTAAAAGTTATGAATATTTTGTACCTTCCTCACAGGTTTGCTTGTGCTCAAATGAAAAAAATGATTGTAGAATTTCCCCTGTCAAGGCTTGAAGGCTTAAGTGCTCACCTCTTCCCAGTGAAAGATGCTTCAATATTTTTAATATATTTTTCCAAAATTCTGATGTCTTAGAATGTAGAGTGATGCATCACATGGGAAGGTTTATGAAATATTTGGTTCTTTAACATCAGATTACATTTCCAGAGTGTTTTCATGTGAAAGTTTTCAACATTAGAAGATTTTTTTTCAATATTAAGCTTCCTATGTAACAGTACTTTATTGGGGGAATTTTTAAATTTCCTTATAACTAAAACCACGTAGATACTAAGTATGTCTCTTTCCAGTAGAACTAGAACCATTATCATTTTATGGTTTTGAAGTGGATGTGGCTCTAGTAGGCAAAGAAATTCCTTTTGGTAGCGTAATATAAGACATAGCATTTTGGTCCTTTAACAACACTGCATAAATTCCTACCTCAGATCCTTGACGATGGACAGTCTCCCAAACACAGTCAGTATCAGAGTCGGGCCGTTCATGAATGGAGTGTGCAGCAGGTTTCTCACTGGTTAATGAGCCTAAGTCTGGAGCAGTATGTATCTGAATTCAGTGCCCAAAACATCACTGGAGAGCAGCTCCTGCAGTTGGATGGAAATAAACTTAAGGTAAAGAATCACATGTCTGTGTTAGGTCACCAGGTATGATTTCTATTACTCTTAGCACCTAGAACGTGATCATTAGGTAAGAACATTGTGCATATTTGAGAGGTAATTCTTATCAACAGCCAGCAGGAAGGAGGGTGTCTCATTTCTTGGTAGGAAATGAAGTTTCAGAACATCTGAGTTCTGACTCAGGTGACAGGCTGCTAGTGATCCACCCCATTGCTTCTCCTGGTAACACATGGCCCATGCATTAACTCTGCCTATTTCCCATAGAGTATGGGTTTTAATAATGGTCAGTGTGGACTTTTCATCACATTAGAGTGAAGACCCAGACCCATGGATCTTCCTTTCCTTGTTCATTTCCCCTTCATACCCCATTCCCTACGCACCACTACAAACCTGGGATGATAGTCTCCCCAGAACTTTTCTTCCCCAATTGTATGTAGGCTGTGTCTTCCCTCCCACTCCATTGCACTCTCGTTTCCACTTGTGCAGTCCATCTTTCCTAGAAACTCAGATGGTACCCACCCCTGTGGAAAAGGGCAAATAAGACATCCAGCCAGCTTCATGCCCCCTCCCTACTGCCTCAGCCCCCTGCTAGGCTGATGGTAGATGGAGTGTCTCTTGACAGTTTTGAAAAGGTTATAGATCAATCAATAGTTTGTGAATATGAAGGCCCCTTCCTATTGACAAAGCTGACCCTATTGGAGAGATGGATGCATCTTGCTCTTGGTTGTGAAGGGCATGAAACATTTAAAGTACGCAATAGACTTCTCCTATTCTGAATTCCAAGTTGATTGAACAGCCTCATTATAATCAACCTTCCTTTATAGGTCTGCCTATGGGAGAGAATGGCTTGTCATGCTGACATGAAATTTCTCGCTCCAAAGACATTTTTGGTCCTCATTGTAAATGAATACATTGGCAGAAAGAAAGCCATGTCAATTCTTTCCACCCTTCTTAGAGCCCTTTGGCGGCAAGTGCCCGCCACTAACTACCCTTTCAGGATATTAATGCATTCAGCAACATTTTCCCTGTAAAGGTCTATAGCCCAAAAGTTGGAGAAGTAGAGTCACATTCTTTTTTCATTCATTCATTCACTCATTAATTACCAGTTTGGGAAGCATTTTTTTAACGAAGTCTAAGGTATATTTTGCAAGAGATTTGAAAGGACAGAAAAATAAAAGCCCCATTGTGTTGACATGTTTACTCAGCTCATCCCATGTAGCCAGTGTAATCAGTTCTTATCTCTTCTGTCCATGTTTGGATTGGTTCAGGAGTCTGAGCATACTGTGTTATTAACTTCACCAGAAGCAGAAGGGTCGTAAGTTTTCAAATTCAATTTATATCTGTGTTTCCTTCCTAGGCTCTTGGAATAACATCATCCCAGGATCGAGCAGTGGTCAAAAAAAAACTGAAGGAAATGAAGATGTCTCTAGAGAAAGCTCGGAAGGCCCAAGAGAAAATGGAAAAACAAAGAGAAAAGCTAAGGAGGAAGGAACAGGAGCAAATGCAGAGGAAGTCCAGAAAGGCAGAGAAGATGACATCAACCGCCTCGGAGGGCGCTGGTGAGCAGTAAAGTTCGGCCTCTTCCTGCCTGCCCCATCTCTAGTGGATGAAGAAGAAACTGGTGTTGGGGGTAATGCTGCTCGAGGCTGACTGAGGAACCGTGTATTAAGTGACTGCATTTTCTGCAATAATAAAATGCACTCTTAAATTTGTCCTCCTGAAATAACCCCAAGCCACATTTGGTTTATTAGCAAACCAGAGATCTCATTTGTGAGAGATACAAAGTCCCTAAGTCTCTCCCCTCTCCTACTTATCAGCATCCTGTGTTGTGTTCATTCCTTTGTGCCACTTGGAGAACCTGCCAACTAGAGCACAGACCCCTGGTGTTGCTAATGGAGCGCCTAGGACGGTCAGGATGGGATCCTGAGCCTGGGCAGCTATCCTGAGATCTGGTATCTGTACTGCTTCTGGGGCTGCAAGATCTAGTTCATGTGTGGGAGAGGCTCCCTCTCAGTTCTGTGACCGGACAGTGAGCTTGTTCTGCTGCGGAACTGTGAACGTGCTGCTGCACAATTATCTACGCAGGTAAAGAGCACGCACACTGTTCTGCTTGCTGGGCATCGGAAAGGGAGAAAGAATTATACTTATTTAACTATACAAGGAAGAAAATGCCTTAAGAATTTGTATGTGGTAACACCTAGTGTTTCTGAGGGTAACATTTATCCTCTGGATATTGCTAAAGAAAGAAAAAGTCAGACCTTCCTGCAGCGATGGGAGGTTGGGATCTGTTGTTTACTCTGTTACCGCTGAGTGTTCAGTATTTTAGCGACACTGGCAGACACAGTGCAGTTCTTCTTCCCCAGCAAATTGAACAGGAAATTGATTTTTAAGAAAAACAACATTTTCAGGTTTCTTCTCCTAAGGAACATTCCAGCTGGTCCTTATCCTGCCTATGACACAACCAGCAACTTGTCACTTATTTTCTACTCAAAATTTCCCAAATGATCTCAGTGTTTCAACACATGTACTTTGAAGAAAAAACAGAAATACCAGTAAAAGAATGTTTAGATTTGAGTAACATTCAACCATGGAACCATACAGAATGTTCCTATAAAGAAGAGCTATCAGTTACATTTAAGAGATATTTTGGATTGTTTCTCTGAGCCATTCTCTTCATGCCCTAGAGATTTCCACTTAGCAGTTTGTTTAAGGCAGTGTATGGAATACATTATTGCACTGGGAGAACATATGCTTATTTTAAAGCCAGTGTTAAATATCTTGGTATTTGACCAAACTGAATCGGATGCAGGAGACTGGGGCAGAAAGCAGAGAAAATAAGCCCATCTTGAGAAATTCCAAAGGACAGGGCTTCTTTAATTGTCCTTTGTTTTGCTCCTTGCGCTTACTCTCATTCTCTTTGCTGCACAAGTTCTAAAACTGAGGTCATCACTCTCCTGCCGACAAGATTCAGAGAAGGACTTGAGGCCTCAAGGGTCCTTAGACGGATGCCTCTCCTGCTGTGTGGCAGGGCGTCCTGCTCTGCTCCGAGCGCTGGCCACTTGTCCCCTGCAGGTTTTCTGCATGCAGAGACCGTAAGGCAGTCTTCCCCGGGCAGCCCTGCACATGTCATGTTTAACATTGCGAGTTTGCTTGTTATCATTATTTTAATACCCAAGTTTTGGAATTAAGGTCTGTCTCCTGTTCTCTGCCAGAGAATTGTCTGGTTAGCTTCAGCCCTTTTGTCATTTGGTCTCAGAAATGTTGACATGAGGTAGTACTATGTTTAGGATGACGAGAGTCATTGTTACATTTTTTGTCTGTCTTCACAATGAAATTGCTATGCCAGATACCTATTAATACATTGAGATAGCTGATGCTTTGCTGTTTGTTCATATCACTAGAAACCAGGAGCTGCTGTTAATGAACTTCAAAAGTCAGCAAGTCTTCCCTCATACAGAAGACTAAATTAGATTAGGATAAATTAATTTATTTAATCTTTAAAGATTAAGGTTAAATTAGACAATATCTGTTAATATTTGTGCTTGCTATTATAAACTTTTTCCATGTTTGTTTTTCTTTGGAGAAAAGAAGTAATCTGGACCACACTGGAAACTTCACTGTATTGATTCCAAGAGTGGAAATAGAAGGATGATTATTTTATGTTTACACTTCAGTTATATTTGATAATGAATGTATATATTGGAAATGTCTATGAGTTTGCCCATAATATATGATCTGTTGTATTTTCTTAAATGTCATAGAAGTATTGTTCTGTACTATAACTTGTTCATTTCATTGTTCAGATTAATATCCAACTGAAATGTTAAAAATCAAATTATTATTCCTCAGATTATTTGCTTTGTATTGTAACCACTTTGATTTTAATTAAAGTACAGCAATCCTAAATATAAATGAGTTAATTTAACCTTACTACTTAAAACTGCTGAAATGGTAAAAGGCACTTGACTGATTGTTCCACAAAGGACAAAGTGTAAACTGTTGGTTACAAAGTGAAGGACCTCAGATCTTGTAAGCATTTTGTTTTCTTATTATTTAATGATTGTACTGCATGATTTCTAATTAAGATTCTAATGTCTTGCACAACTCCTATTTTAATACTAGTATTTTCAGTGTTTCTATAATTTAACATAGACTTTGCATTTTTATTATCAAAAAATGAATATAAAGGGAATATGAGATTACTTTGAAGTGTATTGTGGTGAAGAACAGCTCCCCATGGCTATAACAGCAGCCAGTGGTGTTCTGGGTTGTGGGTCATGCTTTGGAGGGAAGGGTGTGTGGAGAGACGAACCTGTGGACAGTGAGCGCTGTGGGAATGGCGAGCTGTCAGGTTTCCACTACAGAGCTTTATGACAGATTGCTTTGCCTAAGGCTCTTCTCTTGTGTAATAACCTCCTGCTCTCTTCAGGGGCACTGAGTCAGAAGCATTCCTTCATGTTCCCTTAGAGCAGAGACCCTGCATTGTCTGTTTTAATTCTCTGAGGAAGTCTGCCTGTGCTTTTCATGACAAGGAGAGTTCTCTGTGGCTGTCATCCTGTAGCCAGGTCCAGCTATCCCCAGCCCCACCCCCAGCCTTACTCTTCAGACCCACCAGTTCGTGACTGCAGTCTGATGGGTACTAATGGCACTACTTTCAGGTGGCGCACAATGGGGACTTCTTTCTGTGCTTTTTTACTGTTGGGAATAAAACGGAAAGTGAGAACGTGTTACCCCCAGCCACAACCTGTGAACCCATGGCTGCTTAACTAGGAACCCTAAAATATTCTAGGCCCAAGTTACAAGGATGTTCACAGGCTGTTTGATCAAGCAACAGAGCTAGGATTTCTGCTGAAGACAGAGTGACCTCACAGGTGTTCTTTGTGCATTAAGATTAACATATTCTTGAAACTTAGATTCTAAGAAGGTAAATGAAAAATTGTATTTATTCAGATATTGTAAATCATTTATGACTGTGGAAGGTAAGAATAGACTGAGCTTCCAAGGACAGAGTTAACTAGTATGTTCAGGAAAATTCTGGAAGAAAGAGTCCCAGCCCTTCCAAAACAAACATCTGTACTTGGGAAATGTTGTAGCCTTCTTATTACACAGATACTTTTAAACTACCAAATTTCACCTGAGTAACTCCAGGTATGCCCAGTGGAGCTGGAGACCAGGGGCATGCCACTTGGCTGGGTGGCAGTCATCTGCTTTAACACTGAAAAGGTAAGCTGGAAGTGAAAAGCCCACCTTCTTCATCTTTTCTAATTCACTTTTAATCAAGGCCCTACTAGTGCTCAATGCTAAGGCTGATTATTGAAGGATGAGGTACAGAAGTAATATTTTCTGCCAGAATTGTTCACATGACAATGGGGCAAGAGAGGGCACATTTTCAAAGGAAAACAGCATGATGGGAAATCTCAACGTGCCTCACACATCTCCTAAAAACTAGCCTAAGTGTGTTGGCAGATTGTGTTGGCAGTTTTCTTGAATATTTCAGGGTCTCAGGAAATACACCATTGATCCAAAATACCGGTGCGGGGGCCAGGAAACAAAGCACATTTTAATAACTTGAAGTAGCAGCATAGAATAAGCCCAACTGAGAACTGGAGGGAAGAGAAAAATGCCTGCAGAATAAATTCCTCCTGGGAACTAAGGCAAGGCCTTTTTATGGCAGGTGGAAGGCCTTTGTCCACATGTGCATAAGCAGATATTATAAATCTCAGTGGGTTTGCTGAGCGGATGACTGGTGCTTAAAGTTTCCCGCATGGAACCATGTGCACCAAGCACAGCCTAGGATCTGATCCTCAGAGCAGGGCGACAAAGAAACAGGATGCCCTCCAGCCCTTGGCCCCAGCTCCCAAAGCACGTGGGGTTCAGCAGCGAAAGAGAGGTAAGGAATAAGAACAACAGAGGATTTCTCAGTAATATGCATGCCATTTGTGTACATGTTGAGAATTACATATGTGTGAATATATTTCCCACCTTACACGTGCACATCACAGTCCATGGCATAAAAAATACTAAATATGGAGCCTGGTGATGTCAGTTAGGACTCAGAGCTGCAGTGACAGCCGTATTGGCAGTTTTTGTGATGCCTGTAGCCTATTGATTTTAAGATTTTTTTTTTAAATTTTAAGTATTACTACTAGATGCTCTTATCCTTTCACATGTTTAAATATTTTGGTAAAATTGATTTATTATATACTTGGTATTTTAGTAAGATAAAAGTTTCTCAAGTGTTTGGTTCATGCTTTCGTGTCAAGATTGCACATTTTTGAGTTAGAGCTCAGAAGATATTTATGCAGCTTTGGGCATTTTCAACTGTGAACCACAGTTTTCTTGGCTAAAACTTGCACTGTGTTCTTGTGCATTGACTTCTAATATGACACCAATCGCTGTGATACTAAAGTCACTACTGCCTCTGATGGCGATGTAGCCATCACATGACCATTTATTTACTTACTGTGCCAAATAGTGGCATTTTGGTCATCTTATGCTGGGGAATGGCATTTTGGTTGTTACCAAAAATAAACCAAAAGGCTGTAAGCGTATGTTATTGGAGGGTGAACACTTCTGTCTCATTCAGGTGTTTTATTCATACAACTAGGTTTTCTCTTAAGGATTAAATCATCCATTTGGGAAAGACCAATTGGCCAGAATAATTGGTTATCTGAAAAGGGCAAGAGGCACTTGAGCGTGTAACACCTCCCACAGCATCAACTTTAGTTAGTGCGTAGTAGAATTTCTTAAATGTAGACGCATATGCTTTCCTTCGTACTATTTAATGTCAGAACTACTGCTTTTGTATTTTTACTGGTGTTGCTATAAACCACTAGTACACCTGCTACGTATTACTAACAAAACTGGGCAGCTGAAAACTAAAGGAGAATGAATTCTGTTCTGTAAGGATCTGATTTACTTCCATCTTTCTTGGCCATGAAAGAGAATTGTTTGAAAATAAATTTGAATCCAAAGTGTATGGGTCGCATGTTACCTGAAACTTTTACTTTGTACATTTTAATCTCTGCTCATTTGCATGGAAGAGGCAATAGTACAGCGTCTGAATTGTTCTCTTGTGCTTGGTTAATATGTACCGTTTCAAATGACATTCCTTATGCTTTGGTTTCCAGAGATATTCAAAGCAAAATATACCCGTGAACTTTTATTTTCTGACCAATCTCAAAATACTTGTGATTAAATTTAATTTGTTAGTGTAAATAAACTTCTTGCCAATGAGTATTATTGTTAGACAACGAATGCAATAAAAAGAGAAATATGGATGTCTGTCGAAGTCATTTTTTTCCTCTTCCATTTTCACCTTCAACTAAAACAAGCCTTGACTGGGTAGACTTGTATTAACTGTCAAAACATATCCATCCATCAAGAGCAAAGTGCACAATTTTCATGGAAATGAAACTAAAAATAAGCTTTAACTCTAGCAGAGTGTAAATTGGCAGCTAGAATCACATTTGAAAGCACAATTATGGAACTGGGCATAAAGTTAAAGAGCAAAGCCTCCAGTCGGTATGCCCTCACCCGACTTTTAGCTCCCCTGTCACCACTCTCCTGTCTAGGGTTCTGATACCCATCAGCCAGGAAAAGGTTTGTGATGAGTCCAGGAGGCAGCCGGCCTCGTGCAAAGAAGGACAAGCTCAGCGAGAGCCGGGCTCGGCTGGCAGCACTGTTATTTGGAAGGGTTTTATTCCTCCAACCTTCATGATTCAAAGCACTTGCATACAACAGATGAACAATATTAATATTTTTATCACAGTCACAAACTGTATCTGTAACTTTTGGCAACATAGAAGCTTCTATCCGGGCATCAGAGAATATGAATGAGGCCATTTTCCTCAAGTGCGTGTTAGACAATTCCTAACCCAGGTTTATGCCTTTCTCATGAATGTGAATGTATGTGGGGTGAGAGTGGATGGCGTGCTTCATTTGTAGACTAGAAGTATTTTATTGCATGTGTCGCAGAGGCTAACTACCCAGAGAATAGGCTCTAAAGGAACTATGTGGGAGCGTTTTCCTCAACACCACTAATTAATAGTAAGACAATATTTCTGAATCCAGTTTCCTGGAGTGCAGCCAGACAACATCCCTGAATAGCAGAGCACTCGCAGGTCGCTTGGTTGGACGCTCACTGAAATTCTGAGTAACCTGATCTTGACACAGGAAAGTATGTTTATCACAACAGAATTTCTTTATCACTTCAAAATTTTGCTTTTTGAGACAGGGTCTTGCTCTGTGATTCAGGCCTTGAGCTCACTTGGTAGCCCAGGCTGGCCTCAAACTTGGAGTGATCCTCCTGCCTCTGCCTCCTGAGTGCTGGGATTATAGGCGTGTGTCACTATACCTGGCTTTAAATACTGTTTCTCAAGTGACTAGCTTTATGTTTGAGGTCCTAGCTTCAAAAGACAAATGAAGATAGGCAACTTCTTTGTATCAGCATTCCTAGCTAAGTGGCAGTCACGTTCTCCCATTTTTCAGAAGATAGCAGGAAGAAAAAGGTCATTGTTGACCTCCATTCTTTGTTTACCTGTATATTTATTCTTTTCTTCTCAACCTTCCCAGCTAGTTAGAATAGAAAAAAATTCAAACAACCACCAAAACACCTCTGTGCCACCTGGACGGCAGTGTAATCTTTAGGGCCCTAAGTGCTCGGATAGATTATGGGCTTCATTTGTGTCCGTTCGTTGAGTGAGCAAACTTCCTTCTTTATCCAGGTCAGTGAAACGCAAAGGTATGCATGGGCTGAGGTAACACATCACCTTCAGGTATGAGGTGCCTCTCAGAACTCGGGGGGTTTCCTGCCTGCCATTGCCACAGAGAATCAGAAGAGAGTGAGGCGAGGGGGGTGGGAGGAGGGTGCTTTAGGTTCTTGCTGCCTGAGAAAGTCACATGGAGAGAGGGGTCAGGGGAACAAGGCCATCTCCGGTGTTCACCTCATCCCAGGGACTCAAAAAATTAATACTAGCAAATAAAGGACTCAGTTTACTTCGCTTCACATTTTGGAAGGGTCAGTTCATGCTCAGCAGACTCAAACATGCTGGAAGGGACTGGGCAGCAGAAAGCCACCGCATCGTGTTGGCCAGGAGGTAGGGAAAAACAAAGATGTTCCCTTCCTGGTCACCCAGTCACCCTTCTCTCCTGACCAGACCCCACTCCTAGGAGCACTGTGTTCTTAGCATCTCTTATTTTTTTTATCTTTTTAAGAAGAGAATAAAAAAAATAATAAATTTTAAAAAAACATAGGAACTTTCACTAAACACGATAGGAATTCACCCGTGGTGGATCTGTTGCATACTGTCGTCTTCAGGTTCGCCCCAAAGGTCCAGTCACCCTTCCAACGTCCCACCTCTGGGGGCTGTTTCCATAGAAACCATAATAAAGTCCCGTGTGCCGGCATGGCCCCTAGCTTTGCTAACTAGGGCTGCCTGGGGTTGCCAGGTGCACCTGGAGCCCACATTGTTTTCTGACCTGTCACCAGAGTCCCCACGGGAGGACTGAAGGGGTGATGATGCACGCACTCCTCCTGACGGCCTGTTTCCTGAGGGAGAAGTGTCAAGGCAGCAATATAATTCATTCCTGTGCTTTTAGGGAAACGCATGTTTGCGGGAAAGGATTTTTTGAATCGCATACAGTTAAAATTATTTGAGACCTAACAATGGATACAATTAATTGAACCATTTTAATGGAGGGATGTTTTATTGGCAAATGAGGTTTTCGAGTATTCCCAGAGAATCTGACCATGCACCCGCCTATCAGCTCCGCTTACACAGCGCTTCCCTGTCTTGTGACTCCCACACTTAGTGCCCCGTTCTCACTCTGCCAGGATCACGGTGGCCACCTACGGGGCCAGTGGCTAGTGTGCGCTCCCACTTGCAGCCGGTGGCCGCTCCCCGGGCTGCCCAAGCTCACAGTACAGAGCCTTGTGGAACACAGTGCCGATGAGCAGCTTCCCTTGGTACACGGAGGCCACCGTGCTGCCTTGCAGCATTGTCCCGTTTTCTGCATAAACCACCGTCACAGTGGGCTCTTCTGTTAGGATGTTCTGAATTCGAATCACCTGTGAAAGAAACATCAGGCAGTTAACTTTTAAAGTCACTTAAAATAGCTACGAGGTTATTTCTCTGCAACAAACTATATAACTACATAAATCATATTTGTTCTAAAAAATCACTCTATATTTAAATGCCTGTTTCCTTCTTTGAAAACAGGTTGTGGGACTTCACAGTGACCAGAAGTCCAGAGACCTACGGTGACAAGGGAGGAAGTGTAAACGAACAGCATGGCTTGGGTGGCACATGAGGGCGAAGGACTGCATGGTCGATGTGTCGGGGAGGGGGCCTGCGACTCAGCCATCACCAACTGGCTGCTGCGCTAGACCTTGGGTCTGTTTTTGTATGTTTTCAAGTAACTTCAAAAACGTGGAACATTTTTTCTTAATTCCTGCTCTTTAAATACAGGCAACTGTGGGCTGGTGAGATAGCTCAGTGGTCTAAAGTGCCTGCTCAGGCAAGCTTCGGCAAGCACAGTGGCTGCGGTTCGATCCCCGACACCACACGCCTCTCTAGCCCCCGACCCCAGTGCAGACCGAGCCAGCCACAAAGAATAAAGAAAGAAAGAAATACAGGCAACTAAAGGGGGATTAAGCCCCACGTAGCTCCCTCAGTGCAGCATACTCATTCATGACTGAGCTTAAGGCTCCATCTTTAGATGTATAAGATGTAATAAATTCAGTTCCCTCTATTGGTTCAGAATTTGATCACAGCATTAGCAATGTTGTAATGTCATGTTATATTCACCATATTAAATAGCTAATGTTTGGACTCTGTGGCTGACAAAAATGGCAATTCCATGTGATCCAAGCTAACACAAAGAGCATTTTACTGAGGCAGGAGGACAAGGTCCTATCTTGGCTCTGTCGCATTTCTTCCTCGTCTAAGAACAAGATGGGTGAAACTAGATTATTTCTACACTTGATCTTAGCCGAAAGGCTGAGAAGCGATGAAACTAGATTATTTCTAAATTATCATCAACTAGAATAAAATATAGTAAATTAAAAGAGTGCCTACGTTACAAGACACAAACGGCAGCTGAGGAAGGCCAATATGGGAACACAGCGAATCACTCAAAATGACCTCATTGGGCCAGGCATATAGCCCAGCAGCACAAGGCCTGCCTGACAAGTTTAAGATTCCAAGTTCAATCCCCAGTACAGAAAAACAACAACAAAAACAAAAACAAAAACCCTTTTTTGCAACAGCTGGAACCAAAGACCTATCTCTTTAGAAATTGCTAGAATGTTACCCTGTAAGAGTTACTTATAGAGAAATAAATCATGTTGCACCTTGGCTTACCTAAGCCTCCTGGTAATAAAACTAAATCACTCTTTTATGGGGCAGTGCATTAGATAATGGATTGTTATTACTTTTTGCTACTACTTACCAGATCCATCACTACAAGGAAATATTTTTTCCCAAACAACAAACCAAGTCCATGTTATAGCAAATGACCCAAGTTTGCCAAATGAGCTCACCAGCAAGAACAAATTAGACCCACACATCCTGCTAAGTTCTGCACCACCAGTACTACATGACATACATTTCTCTCTAGTTTAATTAAACATCCGCTCAGCAATCCTAATAGCTAAAAACCAGCAAAAGGCACAATGGAGTGTCATTAAACATTATCACAATTTTCTGTCAACCTAGAGAGGAATGACAAGGAAGTGTAAATGAACAGTGTTATTGAAATATTTTTAACTGAAAATACACATTTGACTTTTTGTCAAGAGATACGGATTTTTTTTTTTCCTTTCTTTTTGGGCAACTGAGAATGACTGAAAAGAGCTTTAACAATACTCAACAGTAACAGTAAACAAAATATCTAAGGTGTTATTATGCATTTGAGGTAAATAACAAGTATAATTAGAACACGCTGGAAAATTCAAAATAGAAAACCCCAGGCCAGTCGTAAACATTCAAATATCTATGGCACGGTGAGTATGACCTTCTTACTCGTCCTGCAAAGTAATTTGCTACATCAAGATCATGGATGGATTCAAAAGGGGTCTTTGAATAGTCCTACAGCTCACGGGGAAATAAATTTTTCTAAGCCAAAATAACTTCCAGGAAGTGGTTTTTCTCCCCAGGCTTCAGGAACTCTCTCAGAAAAGGGCCAATTTGGCTTTCAGACTGGCCCCCAGTACTGATTTGTACATTCGTAGCCCACTCTCTATCCAAAAGTTTTACATCTGCAGAGCCAAACAGCCACAAATGAAAAATATATTTGGGAAAACAATTATGCCTGCAATGAACAGCTCTTTTCCCCTCTTCATTGTTCTGTACATTATACATAATGACATAGTGTCACAGTATTATGTAATAGTGCTCACATTGTATTAGGTAGTGTAAGTAATCTAGCATGAATTAAAATATACAGGATGAGTGTGTGTTATATGCAAGTGCTACACTGTCTTACACAAGGCACCTGTGGATTTGCAACCATGAGGGAGTCTTGGAATCAAGTCACCACATATACTGAGGATGACTCTGCACAGCCCAGAAGGGGACCTATCACAGGAAAGCAACCCCTGAAGGCAGCTCAGCCATAGCAACATGGTGCCGTGATGTTGTTTTAAATAACTCTGGGTTCATAGGGCAGAGAATCTCACTACTGAAATAAAGGTGTGGCCCACATGCAGTGCTGGACCCCACTGAGACTTATACCTAGGCCTACTTTGTGGGGTGCAGGTGGAGAGGTCCCATTCTCTCTGGCATAGGCAGCAACAGTAGGAATGGAAAAGCTGAGGGGGTCAGGACATGCCATTCTAGAGCTAAAGTTTCCCCCTAGAGTCTCATGTGTCCAGAGGTGGGACTTGGGGGTGACTGGGTCACTGGGGTGCTCTATCCATCTGTGGACTCCACTACTGAATCCATAGCTGAAAGTGCTGTTGGCAAGTGGCACCTGCGCAGAGGAGTCCTGTCCTCCCTTCGCCCTCTGTGTCCTGGCCCTTATGCAGTGAGCAGCTTTGGCTCACCACACTCTTCAGCCACGAAGTCTCTGCCTTGGACCAGGCTACCAAGGACTGAACTGTGAGTTACATTCAACTTCCCTTTCAAGTTGTGTTGTGTTTTAACAAAAGGAAAGTGAGTGACTAAGGCAGGGTACTCACCTCCACCTGCATCCCTGGGGTGTCACCGCTGGTTGGCTACATCCCTCAACTAGAGGCTGGTTCCTCTCAGAGGACCCTCTCCACGCTCCCCTCCCCCTCCCTACTTCTGTTCAGTGCTAGGGATTGACCCCAGAGCCTCGTGCACACCAGGCAAGCACTGTGCCACTGTGCCAGGTCCCTTCTTAGACGCTTCGGTAATCACTTCTGCCCCTTATTACCTCTGGGGTGCTGCCTTATCCCTGGTTGATGCCCCTACACTTTGTCCACACCTTTCTAGACAGTCCTTCAGTTAAACTTCCCTCAAACTACCCCGTTTAAATGTATTATCTGGCTTCTGCCTAGACTCTGACCAAAATGCTTCCCAACTTCCTTTCTGTTTCTTGTCTTCTGGATCATCTTATCCATGTCACCTCTTTTACTGAGTGAGGAAGAGATGAAAATTGTAATTTCAGCTGAAGAAACAATAGCTAAAAATACATACAGAGATCCAGGTCACCGTCACACTAACCTCTGATGCCGGGGGATTCTCAGAGTCATAGACGAAGATCTTCACGCCATTGGGATGGCACCCAACCCAAAGGTCCCCTGTCACAGGGTCCACAGATATGTTATCCACCAGCGTGTCAAAGTCGAGCGACTTCCAAGAGTAAAACAAGGAGAGAATAAAAGAAAGAAAACGAGGCAAAATTGTGAGGCGATGCAGCAGTATGTTGGGGAGACCCTCCCACGCTTCATCACCTCTCTCTTGCTTCCAGAGATAAAACTCCACCCCATTTCAGCAGCACTCGGGGACTCCCTCTGGCCTTCCTTTTATGCTGGCATTTTGTCAGATTCCATGACAAATGAGGGTAGGGGGTTTGGACAGCAACGATAGATAAAAATTGAAAGAAATTGTGTACTAACCTCTGTGTGTGGACTTAAAAAAATTAAGTGCAGAATAAAATGATTGTTTCTGAAACCGCTAAGCAAATGAGACTTTCACAGTTAGCAAACTAAGAAACATGGATTTATTTCTGATGAAAACATAGATGAAATGTGGGGTATGTCACGGCTAATCATAGCTGTGCGGCTAGAGGAGAAATGATCACCCAGGGTCTACTTTTTGCCTGGGAGTTGAGGAAAAGATTGTTTTTCACTTTCCTGACATAATTCAAGTCCCTGTTCCTCTGCTGTTTATTCTCTAAATATGAGTTGCAAGCATGCAATGGTTTCAGAGATTGCCGCCCAGGGTTTGCACCAGGATCATAAATAATACCAATGAGTCTTAATTCCACCATTCATCACCTTGGCTGCTTTTGCCTGGAAAGAAATCCCATCTATTTGTTTACCTCCAACTCTCATCAGCAAAACAATATGTGGCATGTACACCAGAGTTCAGACTACCGAGGTGCTCTGGGCCCCAGCAGAAAATCAGCTGTGACTCACTGCAGAGGCCAGAGACTCAGAAGGCAGCAAGCCACTACTACAGCAAGCCACTGCTGCCCTTTGCTTCTTGCTCAAAAAACGAGTGTTGTCCCTTGTGTCCCTGTGGGGACTTGAGGCTCAATCCACATGGCAGAGCCTTGAGCACACCATCACACTGGCCTGTCATCCTTTGGCCTGGAGACAAACAAGCTTGGCCAAAGGAGGCAGGAAAGCCAGCGTCCAAGTCAGCCCTGGGCTTTCTGCAGCCTATGAACCACAATCCTTCCTGGTGTCAGTGCCTACTCTACTGTGATGAGCTTCTTTAAGTCAGAAAACGGGTGTCTCTGCTATTTCCTTTGGGAGGGGCACGGCCAATGGGTGGGTTTCATGGTGGGTGAAATCCTGCTGACATGAGAGTTGGAAGTGGGACTGGCAGGACATGGAAGCCTAGGGTCCCATCACCCGACACACAGTTTCTGAGCTCTTTGAGCACCAGCACGTGCTGTTCCCACAGATGAAGAGCCAACAGTCCAGCAAGGAGCCCATCCTGAGTCTAAGCATGAACTCTTGCTGTTAACAGTTGTATCTATATGTCCTCCCAAAGGTTAAGGTCCTCATAGATGGGGCTTTTCTGAGGTAGCTGGATCTGGAGCATTTGATGCTGGAAGTAAGTGTGTGTGATTATTAGATTAATCTACTGGTTGGTTTGGTATCGTTCTTGGTGTGGATAATGGGAAAGCCCACCCTGGGTGTGAGGACTGCCTGCCCTTAGGGCTCACAATCTGGATAGAATATGAGGGAAAGAAAGGGGGGTGCTGTTACAGCTTGCTGCTTGCTGCTTTTGCTGCCCTTTGCCCTCCATACCATGAACTGTTTTTCTCTCCTCTGGGTTGCCTCTCTGCCACAGCTCTCTGCCTTGGACACAACTAATGTTGGGCTGAACCTTCTACCAACTGTGAATGAAATAAGCTTTCCTTCTTTTAATTTTAGCTGCCAGGTATTTTGTCTCATCAATGAGAAAAGTCAGTAGGACCCTGGCCTGGCAAATATGTCACTCATGGGCATGCTGACTCACTCCAGTGGCCTGTGTGTCACAGCCCGCTCCCACCCCAAGTGGGAGATTTCTCATTCCTTGGTCAAGAAAACAGAATCAATAACTCTCTGTGGGAAAAATTCTCTGTTAGCAGATATCCCAATTTTGAGAGAAGGAAAGTTCACTGAAGTGTAACTGACTCACCAAATGCTATGAATCGTCAAGTGAATCTTTTTGAGAGAAAGGGGGAGTTATTTTTATTGTGGTAAAACAACATTTTGTTAAATCAATCTTGCATATACACCTCAATGACACTAAGTACATTTACAAAATGGAGTATTACTTTGCCAAAAGAATCAAGGTAAGTCATTTATAGGAAAATGGATGTACCATAAGATCACCCTATTAAGTGAAATCAGACACACAAGCTTGAATTTTGCATGGTTTCTCTAAACAAGAAACTCATAAATAAAGAGTGAAACCGAGGTAAATTATAGGAAATATGGAGCCAGACATTTTGCGTAGGGGAAGGCAAGCATGAGACAGAAGGAGGGAGGAAAAGAGGGTGAAAGAAAGAATCAAGATGCGTCATGTAGATTATCAGCTCCCCACAGGGAATGCAATCATGTACTGTAAGCATGTGCTCGTGAAAGTTAAAATTAATACAAAAAAGTACAATGATTGATACAAAGAAAAAGAGTACGCTCACGATGTTATGACATTGTGTGCGTTTACTATCTCTATCATCTATCTCTTGAATTTTTAAAGATCCCAAACAGAAACCCTATAACCATTAAACAGATGACCGCTCCTCATCTCCTCCCAGGCCCTGCAAGTCACACTTCTACTGCCTATTTCTATGAATTTGCCTATTCTCTGCGGGTGGAATCACAATATTTGTCCTTTGGTGACGCCTCATTTTCGCTTAGCTTCCAGGTGCTAGCATGTATCCAGGCAAAAGCACGAGCTCCGTCTCAGGCCTTCTTCCCTCTTGGAGACTGATGTGCCATTGGGTGGGGTCCACCATACATGAGCGAGACTCAAGCTCATTCATCCTTATGGCATCGCAAAGTTTATAGTCAGCCCCAACTAGTTTATCAATTTGGTTGGCACCCTGCAGTATCTAATTAATACAATCTCTCAGAAGAAAAAAGAGCAGTGCGCTTGCCAGGGTGGCCTCTGTGAAGTTGGGTGTTATGGTGGGAGATAGGTGTGGTCTGCTGTCAGAAGTAGAAGCCAAACCGGAAGCGAGTCTTGCCTTCCACCTTGCGTGGGCAGGAGCAGAGGCCTCCCATTCTGTGTGGAGTGTGTATCGGGTTGGCTTCTGTTACAGAATGCTTTAATTTTCCATTTACAGAAGTACCCATCATGACAACCCTGGTTGACTTTCATTCTCTCAGTCAGTCTGAGTGTGAAATTCTATTTAATTTCAGCTAATCCCACACTAGCCCTGCAATGACCCCTAATGTCAAACATGACGCTACACTGGCTCTCGTTTCAAGGTGAGTTTCCAAGGGAGACCATCGTGCCAGCACCTCGGATATGCTGACGGGAATGGTCGTGCAGTTGGTGGTGACAGCGCTTCGTGGTGAATGGCTGCTAGGTGTTGGGAAGAAAATCTGTCTGGGTGAAGCCTGTGCCCTAGTCAGACAGGCAGTCAGATCATACAGGAGACACATACATATGTAGGATGTTGCTAGGAGCAAAACTGAAGCAGTAACATGAGAGGAGATGTGTGGGATGCAGGATCAGAAGTCCAAGTAGATCAGGTAGTGGGGGATGATCTCACCCAGGGGGCACTTCAGCAGCGACCACAAGGAGCTGAAAGAGAGCCCCAGCCACCTCCAGGATGGTCACTGTGAGGGAGGGAGCCTTCCTCGCCTGAGGCACGGTCATGCCTGGGGTGCTAGGGCCGACCTGCACATGAGTGAGTGTCACAATGGTTGGACCCAAAAGCAGGGGAATGTGGGGCTCCCAGGGCCCGCTGCACCACTGTGAGCATGTGGCCTTTATAAATACTGCAGGCAGAAGATCTATGGTAAGCACAAGTTGAGGCTGTTCGTGAGCTCTTTCATTAACATAGAGGAAGCAAGAAGGGGGCAGTGAGAAAGGAACTAGGAACACAAGCCAAATGTGAAATGCACCCAAGCAGGAAGCACCAAAGTTCCCCAGGTGAGCTGTGTGCTCTGCTGGTCTCCACTCCGCAGGTGAGCAGAGGTGGACAACACATCAAGATGCCAGCGACTCAACAAAGGAGTGGAAAATTGGCTCTCGCCCATTCCAATTAGGCCATTCTTTTTTCCTCACTTTTAATTTCCCAAATCAATTAGAATCTAATTATCACTCTGCAAACTTATAGTGTTAATACATCTTACCTTCAAGGGAGTTAAAGTCCAATTAGCATGCTTTTCATACACATGAATCTTATGAGCCAGCAACTCAGCTATATAGACATACCTTCAAAGAAGCGAGAGCTACATCAAAGAGCTGGAAGTACTGCAATTCAGAAGGTTACAGTGAGTGCTAATAACACTTCCTATGGAGGAACTTTGCTTGGAGACTGAAAAATGGACCCCTCTCAAGGCACACTGATTTCTGAAAGAGCGTGATGAGTTTGCACACACAAGGGGGTTAACTGCTGAAAAATAATTCATGTTCCTGATCAGGAGAGAAGGAACTTAGCCCCAGTGCCAGCTCTTTGTATCTTGCTTGGTTGAGACAGCGTCTGCACCCTGCTTCTGCTCCCCAGGGGACACTGTGCTCCCCCGAGGGTGGCTGCAGGAATGGCGCTTGACATCAGTCCCTTGGTTTAGGCCAGAAGAAAGCATAAGAGATCAAGTGCTTGGCTTGGAACAAGAGAGCTCTTTCTCCTTTCCTGTTCTGAGCTTAGGCTCAGCCCTGGGGATTTAATATTTTATACAGAGTGCAATACCACACACCATGAAGATGCCTGGAGTGTAGTATGTCCCTGAACAGAGGAGAAATGGTGACCTTACTTTCCCTTATTTTCAAAGAGCAGGAGAAGAACTGAAAGCTCTATATTTGATTTTTTAATAATTTTTAAAATATATTTAGTACAGGGCCTACAGGGTCTCACTATGTAGATTGGACTTGTAGTGATTCCCCTGTTTTCCCAAGTACTGGGATTACGGATGCAAGCACCACCACGCGCAGTCTCAATCCCTGTCTCAGTGTGCTCTGGGGGTGGAGCTGGCACGGCATGCCGGGAATCACAGCCGGGCCTCTGCACTATGCCTAGGCAGGCACTTTAGTCTGCTGAGCTATCTGGCCGGCACTTATATATTTGATTTTTAAATGTATGTCACTACTGCTTTGAAATCCTTGAAGATATGAGATAGAGATGGACAGATGGACATTCAGATGTTACATGTGTGAGATGCCGCCCAAAATGTGGTCCCCAGACCACAAACAGGCAACATATATTATAAATCAACTACATCAAAAATAAATAGATAGATAAATAAATAAAATAAATCAACTACATCACTAAGCACACTTCTGAGTGAAACCGGCACTATTTTTTCATAGTAAGATTTTCTTGGAAGAAGAATACTTTGATTTAGGTCCTTCCCCTCTGGTACTGGGGACCAAACTCAGGACCTTGCACTTGCCAAGCAGGCATATGCCACTGAGCTATCCCGGCCCCTTGATTTATGTTTTGACAGCCCCTTATCTTCACATAGACTGATACTATGGATAGATAGATAGATGATGGATAGATGCCACTAATCTTATTATATTCTCAAAAATCTTCCTTCGAAACAAATCTGTCTGACAATGCTAAATATTCATTATAATTTTCCTACTGAAATGTATTGTACCTCAAATCAAAACACAGGATACCTTTACACACACACACACACACACACACACACACACAACATATTGGGTCTGATCAATATTACTTTCTGAAAAATTAAGATTTTTACATTTTTCCTAATTTCATCTTTCTAAGGTTACATACTGAAGTGTATTGCTTTACTTAGAAAGGAGCCATGTTCTAAAGCTATCCACTAGGAACCTGGATGAATCCTCAATATTCAAAAAAGCATACATACTTGCCATCAGGTGAGATGCTGATTCCATTTGCAAAATCAAATCCTTCTGCCACCACTCGAACATCCTCTGGACTATAGTAGACAACATACGACCATGCTAAACCCAAGTACATCTCCCAGGATCGGAAATATGGGTCAGCAAAATAGTGATCATTTGTGGCATAAAAGTGTTCTGGTCCTACAGCAACAATATCATTCACACTGCAATGAAAACACACACAAAATATATAGGTGAAGGTACTGTACGTCACAGGATATGAGTTGGCTTCCATCTATGTCTAATCCAAAACTCAGGACTGGGATGGAGACTTTATACTAGCTATGAAGGCATAGAATGAATAGGAAATCAGTCCTTCCCAGCCAATCCTCAAAGAGGATGAAAAAAATCTAAAGCACGATTATAGCAGTGTAATGTAACAGTCTTACTGGCTATGTCTTAAAAGTTGTGTTATGGTGTGATGGGTGTGTGTGTGTGTGTGTGTGTGTGTGCACGCACATATGTGTAAAAGCCCTAAATTCTTTAGTCATCACACAAGGCCAGTAGCCAAAACGAGGTGAAGTGTGTACTCACAGGGAACTGACTCCTGTCGACCCAAGGCAGAGGGCAGAGGGGAAAATATCGCACTTGCAGCCTCCAGACCTGTGTTTTACTCAAAGCTTTGCTCCTATTAGCTGTGTGAGCTAGGAGAACTCAACCCCCTCACATCTCAGGGCCTCAGAGAAAGGAAGATGATAGACAGGCCCATCTTCCAGCCTTAAAGCTTTGTGATTCTAAAGTGAATAAGGTGTCCAAGAACAAGAACATCCCGAAATAGATTGCCTGGCTTTTCCTCTCTTATTAGGATTCTCTCTGTGTTGTGGAAAATGTGAGATATATGGGCCTATCTTCCTGCTGTAATAGGTACAATAGCAGCCATATAAGTGCGTCATTCCTTGCTGATGGAGGTGATGCTAGCTCTCCAGGGCCCTGATCGGAGAAAGAAAAAATCTTTTCTCTGCTGCAGCATGCATCATGGCCAGCGTATTAGCTCTCACGCAGCTCTGGGCTCTTGAGTGCGCAAGAGAAACAAGCAGAGCCTCCGTTCTTTCATCTGCAGAGAGAGGTTAAGTGACCTTCCCAGAGTTATACAGCTCATTAGCAAGAGGCTAAGGGTCAGACTTTTAATGTGTGGAGTTGCAGCAGGAATTCCAATGAGGCAGTGCCTGCCTTGTGCTTTGTCAAGAGCCCGATGCTCAATAAATCCCTAGTCAATGGAGGCCACTATTACTACAGGAAACAAGGTCTACAGACTGAGGAACAGCCAACACAGGCCCGAGACATAAGGCGATGCACTAGTTTGACTTTCTTTTTCAAAAGTACATTTCTGAAATGTGTATGCTTTACTATCATTTGCCTGGTTTTCTTTAAAAAAGGAACAGAGTGGAATGGGTTCAAGCAATAGTTCTGAAATCTAAGGGATTCCCTTTGGATCCTGACACTCCTGTTACTGTCCCAACATGAGGCCACAGCAGGACACTAACTTGGAGCCACTTCCTTGAATTGCATTTTGTTCTCTAGACCTTGAAAGGCTGGAGTAAGTAAGAAATGAAGCTATGTGTGCGAAGGCCTCAGTACCACGCCTGGCATACAGCCATGGACCAATAACAGTACTTGCAGTACCATTAATAGTAGCATACTTGGGCCAGCCAAATGGCTCAGTGGATTAAAGTACCTGCAAGCAGGTGCAGAGGGGTCATGGGTTTGATCCCTGGGACTGCTGTGCCAGCCCCACTCCTGGGGTGCGCTGAGATGGCAATTGAGACTGGGATAGTTGCACGTGCCTATAATCCCAGCTCTTGAGAGACAGTAAACAGGGAGATCACTATGAGTCCAATCTAGTAGAAGACCCTGAACACCCTGTAGACCCTTCTCTAAAATACAAAAAAATTAACATACTTGAATTTTAACAAATGTAGTAATTAAAATAGTAATATGACAAAGTCATTAATTCCAAAATAAAACAAAGTACATATGGCTAATCCTTGGGTTGAGAGAGACACAGTCTTGTTATTTGTGGCACCATGGTTCCTCTTAACCTGGTTCTATACTGCTAAAGATCAATATCTTTGTAACTTGCCCTTAAAAAAATACCCCAACTCTGAGAAATTGGACCAAACTCAGGTTTTCAAGATTAAATGGCCAAAAAGATAAAATAACTTTTCACTCTGGGCTCAAGCTGCCAGTATTAGAAGTCCTAGCTACACTATTTACTGATGGTGTCATCTGGGTGACTTAGCAAATATTCCCAGCTTCAATTTTTTAAAAGTCCACAGTGGATATAAGAGTAACACCTAATTAAGAAGCTATCTGTAGAAGGTCATAAAAATAATCTGTCTAAATTGGTTGGTACAGCCACCAAGTTGAGGTCCAAACTCTTCAACAACTATAGTTACTACTATCATCATCAATCCCACTTCTCCATTCTACATATTTTGCCCTATTTTAGAGCTTAGTATTCTTTATGTTCTTCAAATACTCAGTGGCCTTATTCTTTCTCTAACATATATTTTCTGAGTATATGGATAAGCTCTTGTACGCCAATCTATTCTCTCAACTTTCACTCATCCTGGGATGCAGAAGCCCTGGATGTTACATCTTCTGTGACCATTAGTTAATGACTTGAGCTTGGCTCAGTAATTCAATTTCCCTCCAGTCTTCAGAACCACCAGGTAAGAAAAGAGAGGAGAGAGCACAGGTGTCGGAGGCAGGTTGACATGTGCCACATACATGGCTAGACTCCTGCAGAGGCAGCAAATCTAAATTGGAAAATCCTGGGATATGTGAATGCTGTGCTTAAATTATACTTGAAGAGACTGGGATTCTAGCAAGTCCCAGTGCAGAGGTAAACATTTTAGACAACAATGTCAGATTATGTTCCTAAATACATTATTAGACTCATAAACTAAATCTTCATAGAGTAAGGAAATTGACTTTGTTGTAGGTTTATCAGGATTACGGGCCATGGGAATTTTCTTTCCCCACGCATCATGTTGTCCAGGAGGCTAGTATGTAACTGAGTGTTTTCCAAAACCTGCTGTGACATAAATTGTTGCAACCCAGCAGCTGTAAAGACAGCACAGGGAGGACTTAGATACACTGGGTCTTGAGGTGTTTTGGATATATGCTGTGAATTTACAGCAAAATCTATCATTTAATATAAAAAAATAAGTAAACAGGCTCAAAATGTGGAATCAGCTATGAAAACTGTGTATGTTTAATAAGTCTGGCCTCGGAGCCAAACATTTTCTTAGTAAAATTTGCTTGAAGATCCTGAGTTCAGTAGGAACGAGCTAGCATCCACCTGGCCCCAGACACGAGGTAGGGAATGGGCATCCTCTGAGGCCCCAGTCCTCAGAAGTTTGCATAAAAATATTTAGAGGAGTTTGTGATCATCAGAGAGGAGAGTTGAATCTGCCCTATATGAAATGAAAAGCTAAACATGGACAAAACATCCACTGCTGCTGAAGGAAAACAGAAATACTCTCTATCCCAGTACCTCGGCAGAAGTTTGTGTTTAATGGTTTTCAGGTGCAAAAGTGATTTTTCCTCTTCTTGATATTTAAACAGTTCCACTGTAGACTTGGAATCTGGATGGTTTACCACCAGCAGGTACACAGTATTATCTGAGAGGAGATTAAAAACAAAAATCGAAACATTAACTGAGCTCTCAGCTGTCAGCTCTGCCTCCAAAAAGCAATTTCAACCCACCTCCAACAAGTACTTAGTGTGTCGTGCAGATGGAATATTTTCATCTCTTTGTACAGAGAAGCATTTGTGATTGAGCCAAATAAAAGTGGCTAAAGAACAGATGACAGACTTTAAAAACTCAAAACTCCACAGGAGGAAAAATATCCTCAATTTTAGAATGAGCGTCATAGAGCTGATGAAGCCTTCTAGTTCAAATGGTCTCCACAGGAAGCAGGGTTCAGATAAAAGGGATAAAGATGTGGAAACTGCTAAAATAAGGAAGTTCAGGGATAATTTACATAGCATCACATGACCAATTCCATAAGAACACATGGGTCAATGGGGCTTCAGCACAGGTCTCAGTGGTCAAAAAGTGTAATCAGAGCCTAGCAGGTGATGCAAGATTATAGTTTCTGCCTTAAGAGCCAAGCGTAAATCTTAGAGGATTTCTTCAAATTGGTGTTTGAAGGCAAATGATGAGGTAGATGTCCAGTGAAATGATCTGAAGAGGATTGAACAGAGAAACCAGTAAAATGATTTGATGAACCTAATCAATCAACAAGAGGCATTTCAGTAGGTGTTAGGTGTTTAAGGAAAAATGAAACCTGAATGAAGGAGAGGGACAGGACTGCAAGGAGGACACTGACACCAAAGGCACTGATAGGCATTTGACAGGAGGTACTGAGAGGCCCTGGTGATGGCTGAGGAATGCATGAGTCAGAAGTTAAGCACAGAAGTCCCAAGATGGTGGAGCAGCAAGGACAGCAGCAGAGCCTCTCCAGGACAAGGTGTCTAGGGTCTGGGAAACAGTAGCTTGGAGAGAAACTGAAGTGGGTGGAGGCTACTCAGGAGACATGAGGGAACTGATAGAGGAGAAGAAAATAAGAGAAGTGATGCAAGAGAAATGGATCACACCACAGAGGAGAAAGCACGCAGTGCCACCAACAGTGGCTGGCTAGCTGTCAGGGGAAACAAAGTGAAAGTAACAATTTGCTCATAGAGAACCAGAGACCTAGAACGGGAATGAAACAATCACCTGAGTTGGAGCCAGCAAGGAAAATGCAGACACCACTTCCAGAGCAGCTGCCAGTCAGCGACCTTGGTACCTGGTGAGCGACCTTGGTACCAGTGATCACAGCTACAAACATGGAGGGACACCACTGTAGGGAAGGGCTGAGACTCTGGACCTTATTCATTCTCAGTTTTCTTCATTTCTCACCTTCTTTTCATTCATTTCCCTTTAACTTTGCTAATGTTTGTGTCACCCGTAGAATCTTTTCCCATCCACATTTCTCACCACCAACTTTGCATCTGATTTTCCCAATTCTGTCCTTCTAGATATATAATGTGCCTTTCCATCATTAGGACCCTTTCCCCTTCATATATTCTCCTTCCCATAATGCAAAGCAGAGGACATTTAAATACCCCATTTTTTTCTCTTTTCTTTCCCTACTCTGGCATTACCCCACTGGCAAAGCCCTGGGTGTTAGATGAGTGATTCTATAAAATTACTGTTGAATGCTGTTTTCTACCGGTAGAGAAGACATAGCTATTGCACTTAGTAGACAGCAACTGAGGATAAAGACTTGGGCTTTTAAGACCTTATGCTGTAGCTATAGATTTCTTCTCTAAACTAAAGGAAGACCAAAAACAGGGCCTCATGGCAGGCTATTTCTCATCCAGCCCTGAGAGCTGCCACTGTAAATCTTAGACTGTCACTGCTGTAGTTGATCTGATTACCTAGCAATAATCCTGACTCAGTGGACAATTTTGTGTCAGTGAATTTGTCTGCCAAATCCACCATCACACCATGGGGAGGTACAACAACAATTTTACCTCAAGAACTAAGACTGGGATCAGATTATGGATAAATACTTGCAATCTGGCATAAAGAAGTCCTGAGTTTAAAATAGCACTGGCACAGTAGTGAAGGGATCAAGGGCATTATTGGCATGGGGACATTGAAACTCTAGCAAAGATGGTACTTGTTAGTGATCACATATGCAGTGTATCATTGGAATATTTAATCTGTGTCCTATTGGACATCTGATAGGCTTAAGTCTTTATATGTCTCTTGATTCATTTAGTAATGGAGCACTTACTTATGGAAGCCAGTGTCACTCGATTCCACAACGGGATCCAATACTGGACCCATCTGAAACTATAGACCAGTCTCCTTAATGAACACAGATGCAAGAATCCTCAGTAGGATATTACCTAATAGAATGCAGCATATTATTGAAAAGATCACACATTATGATTAAGTAAGTTTCATCCCAGAGATGCAAGGATGGTTCAACATACACAAGTCAATAAAGGTAACGCATCACATAACAGAAGCAAGGTGAAAAAATATACACTCATTTCAATAGATGCAGAAAACTCTTTTGACAAATACAGCACCTGTTCATGATTAAAAAAAAATTTGAAGAAAATAGACACAGAAGGACTATACCTGAATATGACAAGAGCTATATATGACAAACCTATCAGATCACACTAAATGGGAAAAAGCTAAAAACATTCCCCTTAACAGCAGGAGCAAGAGAAGGATGCCCATTATCACCCCTTCTATTCAACATAGTACTTGAAAAATTAGCCAGTGCAATCAGGCAAGAGAAGGAAATAAAAGGAACATATAGAAAGAAGAAGAATTAAAATGATTATTATGTAGACATGATATGATATTCCACATAGAAGACCCAGTGAATTCCACCAAAAATTCTTAGAATTAATAACAACCTTCAGCCACACAGCAGGATGCAAGGTCAACACACAAAACTCATCAGCATTTGTGTGCACCAACAAGGAACAGGATGAGAAGGAAATTACAAAAACAATGCCATTCACAGTAGCTTCAAGAAAAAACGAAATATCTAGGAATTAACCCAACTAAGGAGGTGAAAGACCTCTACAAAGAACACTACAGGACACTGACAAAGGACATGAGACATGAATGTGCTCTGAAGAGGACCTGAGAAAATGGGAAGTTGGCCCCAGCTCCTGAGTGGGCAGAAGCAATACTGTCAAAATGGTCATATTCCCAAAACTGTTATACAGATTCAAGGCAGTCCCAGTCAAAATACCAACAGTACACTTTATAGATATGGAGAAGAACAGTCCTACAGTTGATACAGAACAAGAGGTGACACAGAACAGCCATTCTGGGCAATAAAAGCAAAGCAGATAACACAACAATACCTGACTTTAAGCTATACTGCAAAGCAATAGTGGTAAAAACAGCGTAGTACTGAAACAAAAACAGATACGTGGATCAACGGAACAGAACTGAGGCTACAGAAACTTCCCAAGACACATTTAGCTATTTGATCTTCAATAAAAGGGCAAAAAGCATATATTGTAGGAAAGACAGCCTGTCCAACAGGTAATCCTAGGAAAACTGGTCATCTATATATAGAAGACTGAAAGTGAACTCTTGTTGTCTCTCACATATACTGAATTAAAATAAAAATAGATCAAAAATCTAAACATTAAAACAGAAACATTAAATCTCCTGGAAGATAAAATGGGTAAAACACTTGAAGAAATAGGTATAGGAAAATGTTTTCTAAATGGAACCTCAAATGCACAAAAAATAACTGAAACAACAAATGAGATTATATCAGATTAAAAAGCTTCTGTAAGAAGAAGAATCAGTCCATATAGTGAACAGAAAACCTACAGAATGGGGAATTTTTTTCAGTTAACTCTTAGAGGACTAGTATCAAGAATATACAAAGAATTCAAGCAATTACATTATCTAAAATTAAAGATCCAGTCAAAAAATGGGCAAGAGAAAAGAGCAGATACTCCAAAGAAGAAGAAATAAAAATGGTCAACCAATATATGATAAAATGCCCAACATCTCTTACCATTAGAGAAACACAAATTAAAACAGCACTAAGATTTCATCTTACTCCAGAAACAATGGCAGTCATTAAGAAATTAAAGTGTAACAGATGCTGCCATGGCTGTGGGGAAAAGGAACCCTCCTTTATTGTTGGTGGGAACATAAACTAGCACAGCCATTGTGGAAATCAGTATGAAGTGTCTCAAAAAAACTGAAACTAGAAGTTCTGTGAGACCCAGAGATCCCCCTGCTAGGCACACTTCCCAGAGAAGACATCAGCTACATCATACTACAGTGATACTTGCATAATAGTGTTCATAACAGCATAACTCATGATGTCCAGAACTGTAAAAACACTGTAGCCATCAACAGATGACTGGATAAAGAAAATATGGCATATATATATATATATATATATATATATATATATATATATTATGTATAGTGGAATACTATTGTACTTGAAAGAAGGACAGATGTCAAACATTTGTAGCAAAATGAATGCATCTGGCAAACATAATGTTGAGTGAAATAAACCAGACACACAAGTTTAAAAACCATATGCTATCTCTCATTTGAGTGAAGCATAGTACAAAGATAATAGTGAGCATGGACAGAAAAAGGTGAGGTGATGGATCCCTTGCAATAGGGAAGGGGCCCAAGGGAACACAGGTGAGGAGTAAGGAAGAGGAGATGGGGAATCTGTAGAATAAAGATCTGTCATGTACAGGAACCTCATAATCTCAGCTAGTGTAAACATTTATGCCATAACGTGAGCTGAGCTTCATAATATCAAAAAGAAAGAAAAGGGGAGTTGGAGGAACAAGGAGGGAGGTGGAGAGAGGGGGAAGGGGAGGAGGTGGAGGGAAGGGGAAAGGGACTGAACAAAGAAGCAAGTTATGATGCGTACATAGAACCGCTCCCCAAGATGACTGCCAACTGCATAACCTGCAAGCATGTATGAATACCATAAAACATTCAAAAAAAGAAGTTAAACATAGTGGGTACCAAAGCTTGATTTCATGCTTGGTGCTGCAGCTTCTCATTCTAGAAAGCTATTCTAAGGAAACGGAGAAGATCCATGTGCAGAAGTGTTTGGGCACTGCTTGTAATAAGTGTGAAAGTGGACAAGATCTCAGTGTCTACGAGCAGGTGAATTATATCCTACCACACAGTGGAATCTGTGACAGCCATGGCAAAGTGACATCAAAAGCACTGTCACAAAAAGGGGTCTTCAATATAGTTTTTTAATTTTTTAAATAATTAATTAATTTGGTACAGGGTCTCACTACACAGCTCAGACTCATACTGATCCTCCTGTCTCGGCCTCCCCAGCACTGGGATTACAGGCATGCACCACCATGCCTAGTTCTGGTGGTCAGCACAGTGCTCCCAGGGTTCTGGGGCTGGTATCCCATGTGATACCAGGGATCGAACCCAGGTGCTTGTGCTTGCCAGTCAGGTACTTAGTCCACTGAGCTATCTCCCAAGCCCTCTCACTATAGTTTTTAAAGCCACAGCAACTAATAGAAGAGTTTGTACACTTTTAAAAGTAAACACATACCCAATACTATCTTTCTTTGAAAATATTTTTAAAATGAAATACAATAAATGATGAATGGATGAATAGCTAGAAGACCATTACAAGAAGCACCTCGGGTTGTGGAACTGGAAAGCTGGTGAGGAAACAGTGACAGCACCGATAATTCATATGTGGGGATATTCTAGAATCTAGGCACTCTGACACGGATTGGAAATTTCTGAAAGAGAATACAGAGGCAGTAAAAGCTTGACTCAAAAACCTCAGGGAGAAGGCTCAAAAGGTTGTCAGTGAGTGACAGAATGAGCAGAGGTGACAGTGGCAGTTGGGTCAGAACCAGGAGATGAGTGTGTTGGGTATCAGAGAGGAGCATTTTCCTGAAGGAGAAAGGGATCAACAGGAGGATGAGGTAGAAGGGGGGAAGGAAGGGCTGGAAAAAGTCAGGAAGAAAGAAAGCGAAGAAAAGGGACTTTTAGTAATAGCAGGCAGCAACTTTCACTCTCTGCAATACGGACAGTTGGGAAGGGACTGCACGGGGGCATCTGACAAGGACAGGAAGGCAGTAGGCACAGATGCTTTTGGCTCCGTCACCCTTTCTCTGAACAAGTTGATCGGGACTTTGCACAAGGGCAGTTTCCCAGCCTCCCTTGGGCCAGAGTCATCAGAGTCACAGGGTGTTGGGATTTTTCAGGCTCCTAGGTGCTCCTGTGAGCAAGTGAGATTGCAAATCATTTGAGGGAATAAGGAAACAGCAGCACATGGAAAGAAAACTGGAATGAAAGCAGAAAGGGTGTGCGCGGCAGCTATCAGTGGTGTCAATATGAAGAGATGCCACCTAAGCACAGCACAGAACAGGAGTGAGCAGGAAGGCACAGAGGGTGGCAGGGCTATGAGCGAGCGCCCATCTGCCCATCGACTTCCTTTCATTTCCTTTCTTTACTGTTTGTCTCTCTTTTGAGGCAGAATCTAGCTATGCATTCAGGCTGGCTTTTAATTCTCCACCCTCCTGCCTCAGCCTCCCCAGTGTTGAGATTATGACTGTGTGTAACCGTACCTGGACAGATCTTAGTGTCTGGACATATGGGCCACAGAGCACTTGGGTCAGAAACCTTTATTCCTGTTAATGCCTGACTCTTTGAAACTAATTAAAATGGAAAATATTTATTGAGGAAAGATGAAAATCATCATGGCAGTGATGGGGATGATGTGAATGTTGGTGTTTTCTAAAATCAGAAGCTTTACAAACCTTACATATTTATCAGTCTCAAGTGTACAAGTCATTTAAATATTAGACTTAGTTAACAGAGAAAATAAGTTTAGAACTCAAAAGAGCATGATTCATTTTTATGCTTTGGTTGGGTGAGATGAAATATCCACTCAATAACAGCTGCTTCTTTTTTTACTCTGCCATTGTATTTTAGTAAACAGTAAATACTGTTACCTTCATTTGTGAAAGTGCTAATCCCATGAGGATTAAAGGATGGTAAATCCAGTTTACTTCCTATGATATTCAGTTCTAACACTGCTGGATTATCTTCCTTCAGGTCCATCAGGAGTATTTTTCCTGGATTATCAGGGTCAAAACTCTTCAGTCCAGGATATTTTAATCCCTTAAAGGCGGGAGGAGAGAAGGCAGGCACATTACAACCATTTTGAATGCTGAGTGAGGAGATTGGTGGCGTTGGGCACACAGGAGCTGCTCCTGACCGCAGGGCAGGTCACAGGGCCACAGAAGCCCGTAGGACCCCAGGACCTGCTGAGAACCACCTGCTCCTACAGATCCCTGCACAAACCCGACCCTGCCCTGAGTGAGGCTGGAGGTGACAAAGCTACCAGCCCCCCAGAAATCACAGGACTGCACACTTTATTTAAAGTGAGCATCAGTATATGGAAGGTCTGGGTAAAAAAATTTAAATTTCCAGTTCCAGAAAGTACTCTAGAACAATATCCCCGAAAGAAAGCACTCACAGAGCTAATGAAAGCCAGTCCATTGGGTAGTATCTCCAAGTCCTCAGCACCAGAGTCTACAGAAAAAGGAAAGTACAGGTTGTTTCTGGTTATTG